CTTGTATGGGTGGTCACAGAGATGATAGAGAACCACCATTTACACTTAACCAATGTGTTCATCTGTTCTCTTCCGATCCTACAGTACTAATTAACAGTGCTCGCACTCAGCGCAGGAACTCTTCTCTTTTCAACAGAAACAGAAGTAACTGAAAAAAAACTGGAGAGGCTTATCCAGCCAAAACTCCAATTTCTTCCGGTGGATGTTCAAGGATCCCCAAGGAAAGAGAAGGTGAAATTACCCCCATTCATACAGACAGGCAAGCCACAATCTATACCCAAGCAAAAAGTAAGTAAAATGATCTAAACACTCCTACCTTGAAACTTGAATTCAAACTGTAAAGTATTCTATCAATTTCCTAATCTTAGGCCAGAAATTCTGGATTTCATCAATTCAGAATACTGCTTTGTGATATAAACATGTTGAATCAATCACAAGACTAGTTTAGCACATGTTTATTCACAATAATTATTCAATGTGTGTATCTCTACCCACAAACAATTGTTTCATGGAGAACATACTCTGGTTTCTCTTCAGATCTTTCACCTTTTCTATGGAGAGGAACATTTATGAATACCATGTATAAATATGTGAGGGGAAGTCATAGGGAGGAGGGAGCAAGCTTGTTTACTACTGCCCTGGAAACTAGGATGCAGAACAATGGCTTCAAGCTACAGGAAAGGAGATTCCACCTGAACATGAGGAAGAACTTCCTAACTGTAGAGCTGTTCAGCAGTGGAACTCTCTACCCCGGAGTGTGGTGGAGGCTCCTCCTTTAGAGGCTCTCAAGCAGAGGCTGGATGGCCATCTGTAAGGGGTGCTTTGAATGCGATTTTCCCGCTTCTTGGCTGGGGGTTGGACTGAACGGCCCACAAGGTCTCTTCCAACTCTATAATTCTATGAACATGGATTGTTCTGTTATAATGTGCATTCTTACAGTATCAAAAAGTTGGGCTGCAATGTTTGCTCGATAAGACAGCAGCTAGCATATTCATTCATGTATAAGTTGCCTTCATATATAAGTCAGGGGCCGGTTTTGGGGTCATCATTATGGATTTTGATTTGAACTGTGGATGAGCCGAGAGATATTCTGCAGAGAGGGGAAAACCATTTTGGGCCACTCACCCCTGGTAGAGGGGGGTCAGTGGTTGTCCTAGGTTGGACTAGGCTCTTGCCTTTTCCCACTCGTATAGTTTCAAAAAAGAGCATGGTTATACATATGAAGTAAAATACAGTACTCACATTGACTTGTGGATAAGTCAAACCAGCTTTTTGGAGTTGATTTTTTGACTGAAATTTCTAGACTTGTACATGAGAATATAGGATATATATTGGATAAGCAATATATATTGGAGCCCCCTGTGGCACAGCAGGTTAAACTGCTGAGCTGCTGAAATTGCTGACCGAAAGGTTGGCGGTTCAAATCCAGGGAGTGGGGTGAGCTCCCATTATTAGCCCCAGCTTCTGGCAATCTAGCAGTTCAAAAACATGCAAATGTGAGTAGATCAATAGGTACTGCTCTGACGGGCACTCCTTTTAATCATGCTGTCCACATTACCTGGGAGGTGTCTCTGGACAACGCCAGTTCCTTGGCTTAGAAATGGAGATAAACACCACCCCTCAGAGTTAGACTTGACTAGACTTAATTTCAAGGAAAAACCTTTACCTTTACGCAAATTTTACTCTTGTTGATTTGCCTTAAAAATTGCATTTAAACATTTTTTTATTTTGTCATCTTACTTTCTTTCACAAAGATGTCCTGTAAAACATACATAAGGATACATATGCAAAGGAAGAGATAAGTCTTCAAATGTTTATTGATGACTGGTATTTTATTCTTTTAAAAGCCTTTATGTCTATCTTATTTTCATTTTCATGTTACACTGGGGCTAAACTAGAAACAAACATAAATATCAATACAAAATTAAATTTCAAAATGTAGAGAATGTTAACACATATTTAATCAATCCTCATTTATGAAGGGTGAAGATCCTGTTTCTGGCAAAGTGCGTACATGCTCTGTTGCAGGAGCTTCCCAGCAACTGCCAAGTTTCCTTCTCATCCCATCTAAAGTCAGCTTTGGGGTTCTCAAGGAGGGCTGCACTTATGTAGCCTCAGTTTCCTTGAAGAACATTGGAACGGACTTCTGCAGGTATGCATGTATTTTCAGACTGTGAAGTTGGATCAGCTGAAAGGTCACTTGGCAAACTCTTTATTTACATAAAGACCACACACCAAAATACTTTGCTGCATCTCCATTGAAGATGTAATTCTACCACAAAGTATCTTGCAAGTATCAAAATGCATTTCCATTTACTTCAGTAAAAACATGAGGAGAAAAAACCGCGAAGAGTAACATTTAATTGATTAATGACAATTAATGATGTCATCCGTATTTTGCTTTGTAATGGCTAGTTTTTGTTGCTTTTTAAGCATCTTTCATATTCAGTAAATTGAGAATAAAAGTCAAACACTTACAGAGTTAATGAAACAAGCCTTGGGATTTTTTTCTTAATTTTTTCCATTACATTATCAATTTAGTCCCAATGCTCCAAAAATATTTGCTATTCTTAGTTTGAAACTGCATTATTTGGCCAGTGTAGACTCATATAATGCAATTGAACTGCATTATGAGGCTGATCTACAGTATCATGTAATCCAGTTTCAGAAAGCAGATACACTGAATTGAGTTGGATTATTTGAGTCTACACTGCTCTATAATCCAGTTCAATACAGTTAATATGCATTCTGAAACTGGATTATGTGGCAGTGTAGATCCAGGCTGAGTCTACACTGATCATGTAATACAGTTTTGCTTAATTGGATAGCCTCAGTGGCTGTGAGTCCTTCTACACAGGCACATAATGCAGTTCGGAACTAGCATGAAAAAATGCTGATTCTGGGCTGCATTGGGGCCACACAAGGCCATCTAAGCCGCCTCTATGGTGGGTCACCAGCCCTATTACTGGGTTTCCTTGGCAAGATTTGTTTCTTTAATGCTGAGGGAATGTGACTTGCTCATTGGGATTCTATAGCTGAGTAGGAATTCAAACCCTAGATTCTAGTTTTGAGTAAGAAGTGTACAGGAAACAAGTTGAATTGCTCTTTCTTTATAGGAACCTAACCATATTTTTCCATGACATTTGTGCCTCCTGTACTAAACTTTTGGTTAAAGAAGTAATGTCTGTTAACTGAAGTATGCCTGTACTGTAGAGTTTCAGGAACTAGAGAGTACCTAAGTTACAAAAAAAGCCAAAATATGTATTTTCCCTTGGTTCTGCGTGCTTCTTAAAGGACCTAGAAAGTGGTATCTCATGATAAAGTGGCATTGAAAGGTTCTTGGTAATGAGGAGAGCAAAAGATGTGATATTATCTCCCGATCCAGTCATTCACAAAAATAAAGCTAACCCTGTTACTTGGCAGATTTCGAGTGAAACAACCACCACCATGTACTGGATTGCGAGTGAGCTACATCCCCGGGCCTGTAAGTGATGGAATCAGATTTTGTTTTTCACTTTGCAATTTTCTATAATTCCCAGTGATGGAATTCCACCATTGAGGAGCAGGAGCAAAAGTTCATATACTTCGTATGGTTCTTGTGTGCCTTCCCGTTATTTTTGTCTTATGGCAACCCTAAAGTAAGATTTTTTTTAAATCTGAATGTGTGAGCAGTTCTACACAGACACTATAATCCAGTTTGGGAGTGGATTAAAAGAAACTTGTTTTGCTGTGCTGTACCTACACAAATATCCCAGGAACCAGTTCCTAGCCGGAGTGGTGACTACACCACCCACTGAATGGAGATCGGATCAAGCTCCAGGAACCACAGTATCCACAGCTAAAGAGCCTCTGGAAAATGCAGGACTTTTTTCTTAACGAATTCACTGCAGATGATCGGAGTATATACTGGTTTTGAGCCCTAAATTGGATATACTCTAATCAGCTGCAGCCATTATCTGGCTTGTTCTGAACTTTCTGTTGAGTTCTTTAAGGCCCTTTTTCTGGTTTGATGTGTGCTGCCATACGCATTGGGGTGTGTGCCTTTCGTGGAAACCTCACTCTTGAGCTGGCTTCAAACTGCATTATAGTCTCCATATAGAACCACCTTGAGTGGGTTTCAATGGCCAATTGAGGAAATTAAATCTTGGTTTCCACAGAGATGTAGTCCAGTGCTCAAACCATTACACCATGCTGGCTCTCAGAAGTTTAAAGGGTGCATCAACACTGTAGAATTAATGCTGTTGGACACCTCTTTGTCATGATTTAATGTTGTAGAATCTGTCAGGTTTTACAATGTATTGCAATGTAATATAGCTGAGTCATGCACTACTAATGGGCTTATATTGGAAATGCTGAGTCATGCATTAACTGTATATAGAACTTCATTTGGGGAATGTGTTCTGGCCTAGTCCAGGTGATTGTGAATGATGTAATCCTGGGTCTGAGTTGAGTCAATGATTTGGGAACCAATCGGTGATTGCTATGTGTAAATGAATTGTATATAAGGAAGTCATGTACAGTGTATATTCTCTTCTTGTGTTGTGATGTTGTTCGTCAAAGGCTATATGTAATTAAAAGAACCTGTCTGCTAAGACAAGATATAACTGTATGCTGTGGTAAGTTTGTAATATCATCTAGACTGGGGGAAAGACAATGGTAAAACTGACAATGGCCGGGCATGTGCTCAAGTGTCTGTAAAAGGTTCCAGAGTGACTGCAGGCTGTGGGAGCAGTTGACTGAAAATACTGTGCAGGAAGAAGCTACTGGAAAGTGCTGAAGTTGTGCAACTGATCTTCTGCTGAATTGTGAAGTTATTTTCTCAACAGAATCCTTGGAGTTGTAGTTTAGAAAGGCATCAGCACTCTTTTTCAGAGAAAGCAAAAAAAGTTTTGCAAAATTAGGATTAAGTCATGCATTGTGTCAAGCATTAATTCTGCAGTGTAGATGCACCCCATGAGGCATTACTTATAAAAGCATTAGAAGTCAAGAAATACTGTGGTAGAATCATGCTGAGAAGTTATTTAATTTCTTATAATATCTTAAACTGAGTTTAAGATGTACTTATATGACTAGTCTGTTTGAGGAGCAACCTAGGGCCCTTCCACACAGCCATATAAGTCAGAATATCAAGACGGAATAATCCACAATATCTGCTTTGAACTGGGTTATCAGAGTCCACATTGCCATATATCCCAGTTCAAAGCAGATAATGTGGGATTTTATTCAGCTGCTTGTGGAAGGGACCCCAGTTCCTAATTTTTAGCATAACAGCTGCTCTTGAAAAATGATGATAAAGTGGCTTACAGGGTTTGGGAAATGATTTTAAAAAATGGCAAGACTTAATTATTTATACTCTTTTCATATAAAAATAAGCATAAAATCAAATGTCAGGCAGATGAAACATAAAAACATTTAAAACTGAATTAATTCCTCTGTCCCCAAGGTGGCCATTAACTCTTTTATAGGAATATAGGATAAATGTTTTACTTTATTGGTTGTACAAATTGAAAGTAGTAATTAAATGTATTTATCAAAACATTCAAACAAGAGAAATCAGATGTGACATCTTCATAGGCTGCATCAACATTTAATGGAGTGTATGACACGCATTACCCTGGTGTATCCACATGACTCATACAGGCTAACCCAGGGCAAGCCAATTAATTCAGCTTGCCCTCCAGGTTAAAAGAAAAACACTCAGAAAGGTCCTAATCTTTGAGGAAGAGCAGCTGTCTCAAGTATAATATATACTATTTAATACCAAGGCAAAATCATCCCTGTCATGGTAATTTTGATGTCTGTGTATGTGTGTGTTTATTTATGTACGTAATGCAAATATATGATTAAATTCTCTAGATTTGCTCCTCCTAATTTAGGCATGGGTAAACTTCAGCCCTCCAGGTGTGTTGGACTTCAGCTTCCACAATTCCTAACAGCCTACCGGCTGTACTAGAAATATTGAACTATAATCTCAGTCACTTCCAATGGACATTGTCTGGGCTGATGGGTCAACAAATTTGATGAAAGCTAGTGTCGAAAAATCCAACATTAAATGAGAAATAGTTGATAGTTTAAATCTCAAGGTCATGATAAACTCAAGATTCTCCAGCAGTATATTTTTCTGTTACTTTGAGTATTAAGTATTAGAAAGTGGAGGGGGACCTATTTACCTCATGCTACCTTATCTTATGTATTTTTTCTAGGTGGCTGCTGGATTGCAAACAGAGTTGGACATTGAGATTTTTGCTATGGTTATTGGAGCAGAAGGAGATGAGGGCTCTGGAGAAATTTTTCATCGGATTGAGATTTGCACGGAAAATGAAACCCTCTTCCTGCCTGTGGAAGCAAATATCCTTTACTGCTTTTCTCTGTAGCCATATGTAGAGGACAACGTGAGATATTACTTTCCCTGATGGCCACAAAACAACTCCATCTTCCTACAGATCTGTTGTTTTATAGACATTCATTGTGCCTTCACAAGGCAGCATATAGCACAATAAATGTCTATAAAACAACAGAGCTGTTTTATAGAACACAATATTTGTAAAAAATATTGAAAATGCAGCAGCTGAAATACAGATCTGAAGTAATAGACTGGAATAACCTTTTGGAAGTTCAATTAAAAATATCCCATCACTTCATTCAGTCTCTTATATATGCTATAAGTCCACATTATGTTAAGTCTGTCATATTCCCAAATACCAAGGCAACATTTTAAAATCATTTTAATACAATTGTTGTGCTGGGATATATTATCTTAATGTACAATACCATATTCCCATAAAAACCAAAGTCTTCAAGTACAAATCAATAGGCATGTACAAATGAGAAATGGTATGTTAAAATACCTACCTTTTAATAGGGACTCAAAAGCTGTTTGTCACAGAAGGTGCTCTACCTGCTTTGATGACTAAGCTAAAATTCTGAAAGGGATCCTGCCTTGTATAAGACTGATAAGCATTACTTCCTTTCTTGAAAAAACGATAATGAAAACTGAAAACTTGTTGCTTCTTCAGCAGAAAAGTGCTTTTTCTCTCTATTCTTCAGTTTTCTTAGTGTGTATATCACCCAAAGCGAAAGTGCCAACCCATAGAATCGAATGGCCAGAGCAATCCCTACAGGATACTCAAGACATTGAAAGTGCTTTGCAAAATATCTATCCTTAACATGCCTTTACCAGTTTTGAAATGCGATCCTTATGAACACAGACCACTAAACTATCCTCAGAAAGGAAAGGCTTCCACCATCCGTCTGGTTTCAGGAAATCCAGTATCTCCTTTCAGGTCTATGCTACGTCACAAGATTCCTGCTTAATGTACGTAAATACATTGAAGAATCCATACATCAAAGTATGGAAACTCTACATTCTCAATATCACATTGAAGGCTTAGAAATGGTAGCAGCTATTTTGTGATGGTAGTAGCTGCCTTGAGTCCTGGTTTTAAAGAAAAGCCAGGGTGTAAATAAAGTTATAATGATACTGGTCAGAAGCCTGTTGTGTATATTGTACTAGAATATGTATTTATTTTTTTAGCCTAGGTTTTTCAAAAATAAGTCATGTTAAATTAATATTTTTGATCAAATTACAAACTTCGTAGTTCAAGGGAGTACATATGGAAAGGTTCTAGAGGTCAGAGGGCACATCTCCATTGGCTACTTAGATCGGAATGGGGCTGAATAATTTCCATGGAATTTCCAAATGCTTCATGGAACTGAGCTGTGGCAATGCAATTTTGCCCCACATTAACTAAATTTAGGGATCAGTCTTAATTCTAGGCCAGAATTATGACCATCTGCTGACTTGGGTCCCATCTGAACTGTTAGGCCAGTGGTTCTCAACCTGGGGTCTCCAGATGTTTTTGGCCTTCAACTCCCAGAAATCCTAACAGCTGGTAGACTGGCTGGGATTTTTTGAAGTTGTAGGCCAAAAACATCTGGGGACCCCATGTTGAGAACCACTGTGTTAGGCTGATTTCAGAATGGAGACAACCCCAACTGATCTCCCATCTCATGTTTCATAGGCCCAGGTGGCCTGGGGACATGGCATGGCATTTAATCTCCTGACCTCCATATGGCAGCAATCCCCAGCTGCAACATGGGTCCTACTAGTTGGCCATTGCTGGGGAGAGCAGAAAAGAGATGGGAGAGATTTGAACAGCTCCTCCACTCTCTCATCCCTCTGTTGCTCCAGCAGGTGTCACTTCAGGCAAGAGCAGATAGGCAGGACAAACGCTATAGCTGGAGGTTGCCATGACACAGAAAATGGGAGGGGAAGGGAGAGGACAGTAAAGGTGGCTGTCCCTTGACTCTGAACCAGGCTCAGCAACGCTGGGTGGTCAGGACTCCCTCCTGCTTATGTAGTGGCCAGGGAAATACCTGTCTGACTCAGCCTAGGGCTAATTTAGCTTCCACCCCAGTAAGTTAGTGTAGATGCACTTTCAGCAGACCAGAAGCTAAAGATGGGTCAGCAGTGTGATGCAAAAGGAAGAGAAACGTTAGGAATAAATTACTGGTTTTGCTACCATCAACTATTATCTATCTATCATCTCTCTATATATCTATCTATCCACATAATAAAAGTAAAAAATCTGTATGCATGTATGCGGCAGAGGTATCCACTTACACAGGCAGCCTCCTGCCTCAACAAATAGCTTCAGCTCCCAGTGCTGAGGAGACACCAGTGGCCCTCCCTCTTTTTGCCACTGCACATTGCATTCAATAGCAAATACGTTTTTTTTAGTTTCAGGGTTTTGAAAATAGAGATGTACATTAGATTCAGTGGTGCATTAGACTTCAGAAAATACAGTATTAGTTCCAATTGTGCAACATATTAAAGGTAGGGGCAGCTAATGGATTTGTAACTACAGGGAGAGCAAATGCATTTTGGATTTTATTGCCATTTCTTCAGCAGCTAGTCCAAATTGAACAAGAGATCTGCTGATGCTGAAACTAGGATCCATCACTTACAGGACACAATATTTGTAAAAGCAACATTTCTACTTTTCACACTTTGAAGCAAATTGCAGCATGTGGAAGACTGAGTAGCCAAATTAAAGAAGGGAAGGTCCTTTTGGACATTTGTGCAACATTGAATTTCATCAATTGACTCTTTCCACAAATAATGGATTCTTTAGATATAGTTCTGGACATTTTTATTCAGGTCACTTTCATGAGTTGCTAGGGCATTTATCAATGTTGTGGTTTTGTGGGAAAACACATTTTTACACACCAGGGTTGGGAATTGTGCAACCCCTTGAGACTGTTCTGTGGTTCAGGATCAGAAACCATTGTTTCGCATAGAACTGCTTTTCCAGGCATCTTTGCAAGTGGGAGATTCTCATCTCACCTTAGTTTCTTTTAAATCCCCAATCCATATTTCTACAACCACACTTTCAATTTCTAACACTTTTGAGAGGCTCATGTCAAATGTCATGGCTATATTCTTAGCTGACTCCGATAGCAAGGATATCCATATCTTTAAAAAAATTGGTTTTATTTTTAATTGCAAAACTTTTAAAAGTGAAATTGAGTCATAACAGATTTCTACTACATACATAAAAGCATAAATACAGTAGGCTCTTTGTATCTACTGGGATTTACTTCCAGGGCCCCCTTAGTGCTGCCAAATCTGTGGATGCTGGAGTTCCATTATATACACTGACATAGTAAAATGGTGTGCTTTATATAAAATTGCAAAGCAGTGTTTGCTTTTTGGATTTTTGTTTAGTTTTGGGTTTTTTATGGAATAGGATATATTAAAATTGTGTGAATTCACAACGCCTTTCTTGTGTAGGACGTTTTTTAGGTGCCAAAATCAAAATTCAGATAAACCTTCAGAAAGCAGAAGGTGAACTTAGGGGATCACAGACTTAAACGCCTCCAATCCCTCCATTTTGAAATGAAAACATCTTAGTGAAAACCTAGCCTGGCATCACTAAATCTCCCACAAAATGTCTTATCTCCATCTTACACCCATCACCTCCTTGTTGGAGAGCAGTCCAGTCTTCTCCTTCAAGCAAAACCCCTACCCACAGTCTTCCCCTTTAAACCATAGCAAGAATCAGCTTCTGTTTCTTCTTCCTCTTCCTCTTTTTCTCTTCAAATTGGGCAGTGGCGTCAGCAAAAAAAGATACTTCGTCTTTTGCCTCTATCTCTCTCTTTAGAAACTGGAGTCCAGCCATATTAAATCCCAGCATATCCTGTGGACAGAGCACGTGTAAGAAGGAGATAGGAAAAGTGCACAATGTCTCTCTCTCCCCCATCATTATACAAATTTTCCATATTTTGTTATGCTTTAACCTGAGATACCCAAAACACAGTATGTGAAAATGCAAAATATTTTACATGGAAATGGGCATGTATTGTTTAGAAGTCTCATCAAAAGTACTTCATCATCATAGAATCATAGATCACTTATTAAGTTCTGCAGTACTTTTTCCTATTCTAATTGGGATTGATGTCCACAGTCCCTACTACAGCAATTTGTTCACCCCAAGGATGTGAAACATGTTTTCAACTGTGACACCTCTAATGTGGTAGGTGTCATTGAGTGTACTTAGAAATTACACTATGTAGCATGATTTTTATTCCTGAGTTATTTCCTAACTGGGTGTATCATTAAAAAAATGGAAAAAGTTTATTAAACTGCAAAAACTTGTTTTTGTGGGATATCTTGTTGCACATTTTGGTACAGTTTTTTAAATGAATATCTCATTGAGTCTCAAACAATTCAACATAGTTTGTGGCAGACAAAAAATGAAGTTTCTGTAGTGTAACACACATTTCAAAGTAAGTATCAATTAAACAGAAAATAACATTTTTCAACCCAGAACAAAAAAAAAATTTCAAATTTGGTTACATAATGTTATTTATGTTGGGAAGGCATCCATGATATTAATTCAAGCTGCAGTGTTAGCAAGAACTGAACTGATACCCAAAATGTGTACTTTTTACACTAAGCAACTACTCGCAGATGTTCACTTACCCTCACTTCACTGACTTTAGAGACAATTGTTTTTTTCACATTCTCCATCACCTTAACAAGAAGCTGATTACTTGTGATCTGCCCAAAATGTATCCTAAAGGGACAACAAAGAAATCCTTTCAGAATTCAAACTGTCAATCATTTTAAAGCTTCATTTTTTTACTGGCCTTCTGGTTGCTGGGTTAAAAGATCTAGTTTCATAAGGCAGATAGGAAACCTAGTGTCCTTAGGTTGCTGTGAGTTTTCCGGACTGATGCCATGTTCCAGAGGCATTCTCTCCTGATGTTTTGCCCACATCTATGGCAGGCATTCTCAGAGGCTGTGAGGTCTATTGGAAACTAGGCAAGTGAGGTTTATTATTTATTTTATTTATTTAAAACATTTATATTCCACCCTTCCCACCCCGAAGGGGACTCAGGGCAGAGCACAGCAAATCTATGTATCTGGGGGAAAGAACTCTTGTCTGCTGGAGGAATGTTGCAACTGGGCACCTTGATTAGCATTTCATGACTACTCAAGGTATATAAACCTCACTTGCCTAGTTTTCAATACACCTTGCCCTGAGGATGCCTGCCATACATGTGGGTGAAACGTCAGGAGAGAATGCCTCTGGAACATGGCCATACAGCCCAGAAAATTCACAACAACCCAGTGATTTCAGCCATGAAAGCCTTCATCTAGTTTTCTTAGTTTAACTTTATAATAAAAAGCCTAGTTGTAGAAAAGTCAAAACTATTGAAAAAGTGGTCACCTGAGCACCATTCTGTTACTTCTGTGATTGCTGATCAGTTCTCAGAGAACACAGTGAATGAGAGACAATAATTTACTATTATATCCAACTGTGTTAAACATTTGCCTGGGTAGTCTACAGGCTCTTCTCTAAATGGAGCATTATAAAACAGTTTGTGAGAGTAGAATGTTTGCAGTAAGTGCTGGTAAATGTCCCTTTTCCAAAAGAAGTTCTGTTTAGCAATGATTCCCACTATTTCGGTAATGACTTGTAGATTCTCCCTTATTAATTAACTGAATGTCTCTGAAAATAGTAAGTAGTTATGAAAGGCAATGTTGGGTAACTTTTTAAAAGCTAATACTTCTGCTAGCTCCCTTTGATTACAACCAATAATCCACAACAAGGCACTGTGTCAGCCAATAGCCATTAGACTAGCCACTTCTGAACCATTATAATCCCCTGCATTTTTAGTGACTGCCTACCTGAGCAGAAACAGGAGAATCCGGCAAAGCAGCTCTACATCTGAACCCAACTGAAGATACTGATCGAAGAGCACAAGCAGGTCAAATACATATGAAAATGGAAGCACCAACAGAGCTTCTTCCAATTCACTGTAGAAAAAAGAGAAGAGAATAAGGCTTCAGCATCCTTCTCACTCTAGAAATGAAGCTATAATTGCACACCTGCTATCGGTTTGATGGCCCTTAGCACAAAAATAATCAAGTATTATAGACATCTGAGCCAAGAATGATGACATTTGTTACTGCCTGCTTTCCTAGAAGAGAA